TATGAGAGGGAATTAAAGGTTCAAGATTTACTAAACAGACTCACACCTTCCAGGAATAACCCAAGGAACCCCTTAACTTCTCCTCTAGAACCAAGGTGACATTTCATTGAAGATAAAAGATAAGATAGGATTAAATTCATTTCTACTAAGTTATCAGAGGAATGGTTGGTCCCCGAACAATCATAGCTTACTGTCTTTCACGGCGTGCCTGACGTGACTGTGCTAGGGACAGACTACCAGTAACAACAATGTAAACAAACACTGGCGGTGTGTATGATACTGACTGTCTTGTGTTCGGAGAAGACGGAGTAAAGAAAGAAAAAAATAAATAATTTCTCTTTCAGCTGCTATTGGTCAACTTTTGGAAGACGTTGTGGAATTTGTCGTTAAAGGGCAAAAACAAATCACACACTGTTGTCGTCCACTATGATACACTACACGGGATAAATCAATCGGTTGTTGCATCCAACCCCAATTTTCACTCATGGCATCATATGTTTGTCAGGCTGAAATCGTATAGTCTTTGAACTCTCAAGCTTTAGTTACATTTGAAACCACTTGTGTTTGGTTTTGGTTGGTCTCAACAGCTTTGACACACCCTAACTCCAGGCTCTGTCCACTTTGAGGAAGGTATCTAGGATCAGATCACAGAGCCTGAATCCCGACCTTGACAGTGGAGGGCAGAAATGCTCATCTGATGGCCAGGTCAGTATCTGGAGACGACTGACAGGAGCTGTAATGTAGTTAGAGGAGGAGAGTAATGGCAACAGACAGCAGTGACAGGACAAGAGAAGAGGGGGAAGGCAGGAACAGATGGAGACAGATGATAGCACAGGAGGAAGAGGAGAGAGAGGGAGAGTAAATGCCTGTGTGGAGAAAAGGGAATAGGTAGATGAATTGATTGAAGGTGGAGTATAAAAAGAAGAAAGGCTAAATGACAATGCGAGAAAATGGACACAGGGACATCTACTGCTATGGACTGAAAGACTATATGACTGTCTGTTAAATTTGAATTGGCTCTCAGGTTTGCTGCTAAACTTAATTTCTATTTTAATAATGTGGTTAAATGCATCTCTGACCGCCGCAAGATCTGGTTTGGGTGATTTGAGCCTCAAAGCATCTTGAGTGCATTTATAAGTGGTCTTGATTGCATTTTTTCCTCACTGACCCATTAAGGGACCCATCATTTATAACAACTTGGTTCTTTGAAATGTTGAAATGAGATTTAAATGTTGTTCTTTGGACCTTGGAAACGACTACTGACAGTCTGAAGTCATGAAAGTGTTCAGAAAAAGGGAAATTTGAACATCTAGAATTTCATGACAACTGGGCAAACTCAAACTATGATCAAAAGCTCCAGAACAGCTACTAATGATGGTGTAATTGTTTTGACACCACATGTTAATTTCCTCATTAGCAAATAGAAGGATTGACGAGTTTACTGATCAGAATCGGAATTCAGCTTTATTGCCAAGTAGATGTATGTATACAAGGAATTTGCTTTGGTGTCTTTGTGCATAATTAATATATAACATAATAAGAATCTATAAATATCAAATATATACACACACATATATATATATAAAGATGTAATATAGCAGTTTGTGTAGTGATATGATTTACATGTGGAAAACATTTACAGTATGTACTGTATAAGTGTGTGGTGGGGTAAGCTGCAGACGGAAAGATCAGAGGGACAATATGATATATTTAATATGAATATTTACTTTCCCCCAAAAAATTAAAATTAGTGGCAAAAATAATTATACTGATCAAGTTTATTGCTGAGATCTCGGACTTAAAATAAACACCCAGGTTAGCGAACTCGTTTTGTGGAGAAAACCAAGGCTAACAGTAAAATTACTAGCTGAACTGTCAGTTGTTAACATCCATTAGAGTTTACTGACTGACTAACTGATTCATCTTTGAAGTAGTTGTGTGCTCACAGTTTTCCTGTGCAATGAGGGATTATTACCTAACTTCAACTGCACTAAATTTCATGTCCAAATAAAGTGGATTGGGTAACCACCCCAGATCTCAGCAGCTACTTTGGTAAGCGCTAGAGCTGGACTGATAAATATCCTTGATCCCAGAGTAATGCAGATATAATGTAGGTAAGTGTTCTGATGAAGAAATTGCAGTACAAAAATGCTTCAGATGTATTTGAGGTGATTTAAAACAGTGTCTCCGTTACATAATTAACTTGTCCATCAGACAACACTGACAAGTGTAAAATGCTGCTCAGTACATATTTTGGTCACTCTTCTTTAATAACCAAATATTATTGTGTTTATGTTTCTTTAGAAATAAATTCAATTCAGACTACATCTATATATAGTGAGTACAATATCTTCATAACTGATGGAAATGATGGCCAGCGCCTCAAGACTCAAGTTGTATTTAAGTGCAGTCGTCCAAGATGAATGTCATTTTGTGGTAAAATTGGAAACTGCTGCTACCCAATTGTCCATCCACTGCTTCTCCACAAATTCCTCCTTCTGATGGGGAGAAACAGAACTGTCTTCTGCTTATACTATTAAGGCAAAAAAAAGCTCTAACCTGGTAAAGCCTTTTGTCTCAAAGTAGCCTCAGGGAGGAAGAGAACTGAGAGAGGACTAAGAAGTAAAAACAAGAGCAAAGCCAAAAGAGAAAAAGTGGACGTGATGGATGAGGAAAAAGGAGAGCAGACTGGGAGAAGGAGGGAGAGAGGTGTGTGAGTCCAGGGGAACGGGGAGGGCACTCCTATTGCATAATTAGTGCGTGTGCGCACATGTGCACAGACTCACACACATTTCGTACTGTTTTCCCCACCACTCAGAGTGATGCTTTAGTGGCTGCTACATTAGCCTCGTTAGATATGCAAAGCGGGCCAATTAGCAGCACAGTGTGCAGGAAGTGACATGTTCCACCTGAAGTAGCTCAGAAACAATGCCAGTGTTCACAGCTAGCAATAAATCATGCCTCTGTGAGTGTGTGTGTGTGTGTGTGTTGCTTTGGACCCAGAAATGTCACACACGTATTATAAGCTCATTACCTATTGACAAAAAAAAAACATTCTTAATCCACATAACCTCCCCTGAATCTCTTAGGAATTAAATTCGTCCCTCTCTCACAGAAAATATCACTGCTTTGCATCCATTGCAAAATAGAAACAGTGTTTTCTCACCAATATATTGCTGTGAAATTGGCTGCAAACACAAGACAAACAGCTGCAGTGAGGTGCGTGATGCTTTGATTTGATCCATTTCAGGAGGTGTCTCCTGTGTGTGGAATCCCTCCTGGCAGACTGGTGAGCATTAAATTCAACAGCAGGAGGATACAATGCAATCTCTGTTTCAAAGACTACAGCAAATGTCTTTGATTTGACAGATATTTCATCAGAACATCATCAAGTTTACTTCAAAAAGTCTTTCCAACGAGGGAAATACGTCTACCGACTAGCTTTAGTCCTATATGTAGCCAGTCACCTCTGATGCAGTAAAGGCTCCTCCCATAATTACCACAGGTGCCAATCTGTAAAATCCGCACTGAGGCATATGCCATTCTGCCGATCTCTGATCTTTGTGTCAATATGTCTAATACCCAAGTGGATCTGAATGGACCTTTTATCAGCAGATTGTGATAAATTTACATTTTTGTCCCCCACTGTTTTCGATCACTCTGCTACTAGTTTTCATGTAGTAGGCCTTGTTTTTAGGTTGGGTATGATGATTCTCTGGTCTATGCAGATTGGGTCGGACTGCCCTGGGGTCCGTTTCAGAACAGTTTGGGTAATATTGTTACTATTCGCCTTCGTGTTCTCCTCCAAATAAGTTCGGCTAACCTTGGGGTTAACTTGCTTGTCCCCTGTTTCCTTCCTAGATCTCAGCAATTAAAGGTACATTCATTCTTTATCACCAAATTGGATGTCTCTTCTGTGTATAACAGTGCAGGCCAGCAACAGCAATGACAAATAGTGTAGGTGTTACAGGTCCAGAGCGTGGTCCCCGATGAACAGATTATGCTGGAAAAAGTTGTAAATACTATGTGAATACAGTTTTGCAGTGGTTCCTCACAAGAATCAAATATCTTACAATTACATTCCAGGATATATCCAGTGTTTTTTCCAGAGTTGTATTTCAGTCTTTGGACCAGAATAACATCTGTTGTACTGCTGCTCAGAGTCCATCCAGTTTAGCAGATATCAAACATGGCTAATGAACAATTATACATATACATACAAAACACATGTTGCAATGTCTGTCACAGATCACAGTTTCACTCACTATGACCACTACATTGTCATTACAAAACATTATACAAGCATTCTTTCTGGCTTCTATACTTATACCAGTTTGCTATTGTTGACTGCCATTTTTAGCATAAACATGAATATGCATGAGAACCCGCCTGGGTGATACTTGAGAAGACATGAGTCCATATTCTAAACACATTCAACACAGTATTAAACTTTAGATTTCAAGCAGACATCAGAAGAACTAAATAAGAATTCAACCTTTGAGATAATATTAAAGCTTTAGCTTCACAAGCTTTAATTGAAGCAACATGAATGGCCACAATGTAGGGCTATTTTGACAGTGATGCGCATACAACTACTTATTAAACTGAAGGTGCAATGCATGCTTTTGCACACTCGTGTAACTGGACCTGGCTACTAGTGTCCACAAACCTCCACTGGGTACTTTAAACTTGATTGAATATTGTAAGAAATCCAAATGGTCCTCTAACCTGCCGTTTTCAGTGTCCCATTATTTTTCTAAAAGCTTTTTAACATTTTCCTAACCTTACAGAGGGACTTCTTAGGCACAGAATACCAGGTATCTGTTGCTTTAATCAACGTAATTTTTTGGTCCTACATGGTATCAGTAAAGCTCTGCCATCCGCCTGCATTTGTGCTGCTGCATTTATCCAAGCATAACCTCCTGTTCATTCTTTATTTAGTGCCCAGCGTTTCCACTGTCAGCAGATTCTCTCATTCTTCTTCATCCTTTCTTTTTCAGGTGCTGGTATGGCACACTCGCACAGAGAAACCACACCTTGCAAATGAACCCAAACATCGGAAAGACACTGTTGTCATTGAGGTGTGAGAGGAGGACCCCAAGACCAGAAGCTGATTGTGGCTGGCCATCATCTCTTGGCTGGGACAAAATACAGCACCCTGCTTTCTTTCCATATCGGGTTTATACAATCTGTTCACGATGGACACAGACTCTGATGAGCTGCATGACTTCTGGCTGTCTGTCAAACGTGCTCAGTGAGAGTCGGACAGCACTGTTCATTTCACAAACTGAGATGACTTGCACTCTTCATTGCCTCCATCCATGGCTTGCTGATGTTAAAAAAAATTATAATGCTGAATTGAGAAGTACCATGAGAATCATTAACATCATTTATATTCATTAATACATCATTGTCAAATTAACTGTGACCGTGATATAATTACCAAAACAAACAAGGCTTGTGGTCCAGATATCTGCCTATATCTTATGACAGTGGTATTGTGATGCTGTTTCTTTAACAACAAATGTGTATTTGTTTTTATTTTTGTTTGTTTTTTGGTGTGATAATAAGATTGATACCATTTCCATGTCTCAGCCAATATGAAGCTGGTATCAGGATGCTGATAGCATAAAGCTAGCTCAGCATAAAGGCTGGAAACAATTAGCCTGGCCCTCTCCAAAGTTCAAGAATATGCCTACCAGCACATGTTCACATTTGATCACATTCTTTTAATCTGTACATAAGCAGAAAGATTAAACGACAACATGTGGTTTTAATGGAAGTTACGTGGTGTAACAATTTATTTTGGACCAACAGCTGGGTGCAGCAACAGTGAGCCAGTCATGCTATACTAAGTACCAGATAGAAAGATAATCTGCATAATCTCCAACATGTAACTCCCCTGTAAAATCACAAATTGTGATTTTGACATTAGAATTGTTGTTAACCTTTTAAACAAACTAGATGCAGTGTGTTAATTAGCCTTTAAGGTGTCGGTAGATGCATTTTTGAACCTTTCAGAGAGCCAGCTGTTTCCCCCCGCATCCAGTCTTTACGCTAAGCTAGGCTAACCACGTCTGAAATCTAGTATCACGCACACAAAACTGGCAGTTTTTTCATCTCACATTCACACCTCTCACTGAGCAAAATAAATGTTTGGAAGCAAACCTTTTCAACTGCAAGTTTTAGGTCTGTTTGCTCTGGAAGAACTGCACGCTTAAATCAAATCAGTACACAGGACAGTATGCATAGTGAATTTTGTTCTCTGCATTTAACCCATCCGAAGTATTAGGAGCAGCAGTGGGCAGCCAGTGTGCAGCGCCCGGGGACCAACTACAGTTCTATGTCAGTGCTTTGGTCAAGGACACTGACAGGAGAATTAACGTAATGCTTTGATGGTCGGGGGAACCGGAGTATCCGCAGGAAACATGGGAGAACCTGCAAACTGCACACAGAAAGGCCCTGCCCCGCCTGGGAATCAAACCTAGGACCTTTTTACTGTTGTTGCCCCTCTTCAGTGGCTCATAGCTATAAAGTGCCAATCAGAGGCCGACAGAAGCAGCTAGGTTTCCCAGCTCTGGTCTTTGTTTAAATTAGTCACATCAATGTCTCAGAGTTAATGCAGTAATGATTCATTGATGCATAAATGCTTTGTAATTCTCCTTTACAACACCCTGAATCGATCACATGTAATGGACTGGAACAACCTTTACCGTTTCCTCTCTGCGTAAGTGAAGTATGTGATCAGGTTTGAAAACGGCCCAAGTGAAGTTAACATCACTCCTGACAAGCTGCCATCAATAATGTAGAGACTGTGGGCCGACAACAAACTCACCTGCCAGCGGAGGAATAAAAGGAATGAATTGAGTAGACGAGATACAAGCAGGACATCAGACTGGCCGCTAGTTTCGCAGCTCAAAGGTGAACCGTTTTCTTCAGTGTATTTAGACGGCGGTATTGTCCTGACCACTGAAGTTTAGAGGGGACTGTGTTGGTGTATGATGTAAACACAAGAAAAAAAAACAAAAACAGGATTCAATCCAGGATCCAACAGCCTTTATTTCAAATGACCCTTCTGTAAAACTTGGAACAGAAAAAAAGGAGCAAACCAATAAAATTCCAAAAAGAAAAAACAGTACTTTTACAGTTGAAGGAGTCATTGGACAAAGATGAACACAGAAAAATTCCTGGATATTTTTTTTTATGCACGGAAACCACTTTTTCTTTTCTCTGTACTAGGCACCAGAAAATGTAAACACACTGGAAATAAACCTGGAGGACATTAGATTTATTGAATATGTTTATGGGTTGTTCACACTAACCACATGAGAGTGCTACAGTTATTGCATGGCAGAGGGACCCTGTGTATACGGAAATGAATCTCTGCATCGCCACTCGGCTGTGTGATCGTAACTTTGTGTGCGTAAGTAAGTAAGTAAGTGTGTTTGTTCATTTCCACTCTTGCTCCTCTGTTCTTACTCCCAATAAACACAGACTGGACAGTGGTGAAGGGACCCATCCAGTGTTTTCATACAAGTCCCCTTTTGCAACCACTGTCCACTCCTGTTCCTCGCCCTGCCAGTCTAGCCCTCTTATTGGTCATCCAGGTTTATTTGCTTCAGACGAACTGTGCTTCTCTTGTACTGCACACAACAAAACACCACAATAAAGATGGCGGATGGCAGAACATACGGTTATAGCATCCTATGTAAAGGGAGCAATGTTTTGGGTGTCACATTCACTCAATTTAAAAAAGACTGCAGAAATCCTACCGTCCCTGCTGATCCCACACAACAATTTTCTGAAATGAAACCACAACACAGCGAGACAGGGGTACCTGCTCTGCTATTTAAAGTGCAGTAAAGACAAACAGCTGGGATTCCAGTAGTGCTTTAATTTGCCTTGGGGAGAGCTGAGGAAATGGCTCATTTCAACAACAAGGACTGTCTTAACTGGGTCGGAGCCCAGTTTCCACTAAACCCAGCTCGTTTGGTTTTAAAACACTTCAAAACACCACAGCATGGCTACCAAAGACACCCAGGGGAGACAAGGGCTGCCCAGCAATTACTGAGTCTTAAAGGGAATCCTTGACATTTGGAGTTCTAGGTTGTTTTTAACCAGCTTGAAGAAGGAGAAACAGGGTTGGACCGATATTTTCATCTCAATCTTCAATATTTAAAAGTAACAACATCAACTGGCCAAATATTGTTGTCACAGCCAGTGTAGTGTGTCTATCAGTGGTTCCCCAGTTTCAGCACATAACTCCAAAGGTTTTTTTTTTTACATTTCTTTTTGTGTAAGGATTGAACAAAACACAATATAAAGTGTCACTTACTTGATTATTTAGAGGTGTTGTTAGGCATAATTTTAAAATTTGGACCGAGCCAGACTAGCTGCTTCCCCATGCTTCCAGTCTTTATGCTATGCTAGGCTAACCGCTGCCCAGCTCCAACTAGAGACCTAGCAGACAGACATGAGAGTGGTATCACTCTTCTAATCGAATCGAATCTTCTCAGCAAGAAAGCGAATGAGGGTGCTGTTCGTTGTTTGGTCGACCTGGGCTTGAATCCAGGTAGGGTGACTGCTCTCGCCCTTCACTACAAAGACTATTTCCCCAAACTGACAGTCCTTCGCTGTATAGGCGTATATTGTTTTGAATATGCATAACAATGACAGCGCTGCAGGCACAGCAGTTGTTTATTTTTGCTAAACCTTTAATGTTTCAGTCATGTTTTAGTCTTTTTGCATTTGTGGAGAAAAAATCATTACAGTCGTGAAATACAAAAAGAGAAGTTGAAAGAGTGATGTTACCCTCTCTAACGATGTGGAATAGTTGTCAGAGTTCTAGGAGGCAAGACACTCAGATTCAGAAAAAATAAAATAAAAAATGAGAATTTTTTTCTTTCTTCCATTTCCTATTTTAACGATTTTGCAACCCCTCAGGATCTTTTGACCCAACCCCAAGGTTAGGAACCACCGGTGTATGTGATGATGTACTGTAGAGATGATGAGCGGTACACTGGCTGCTGAGGGAAAAAAATCTAACCTCAAGCGGTTGTGATAATGAGTGTCACGTGATGAAGAGAACCCAAACCAAACAAAGTCATCAAATCTTCTATGGCTCTGAAAAAGATTCACATCTTATTCACATAAATACAGTACTGTTCAGACTATTAGCTGCTACGAGCCTCAGCCCGCCCTATAGAGAGGAAGGAGGGGGAGGAGAGGAGGAGGGGGGGGTTACAATATACACAGCAGAGAGAGGTGGGAGGACAGGGTAGCAAAGACCAACCACAAGATAGCCATATCTACTGTACGTATTGAAATACTACTCACTAACTATCCATTTTGGTAATGATATTATATTACTAGAATAGACACTTGGAGTTATTGATGCAGCAGCTTTCTTTTCTGATTCTGCTGTTTTGTCTCTTTCTTCAGACAACAACTAAAGGAAGAGATAAGTAGAAATAAAGATGGGAAACAACAGCTGCCAGTCTTTCTTTTTTTTCCCCCTGCGCTCTATCCAGTGTGATGTCTTGGCTTTTTAAAGAAACCACACTGAAGGTGTGTAGGGTGTGGGAGGGGCAGTCAAACTACCCCCGCTGTGCGTTCTTTATACGGAGCTGTGAGGAGACGGGCGGGTCAGGAGCAGATTTGGCCATTTTTGTTGCCATATTACCACTCTAGTTTCCCCCCCACTCATCTTCTGGACCCACACCTTGTCACTTCCACAGCTGAGTGCTGAGGGTCTGGCCAGAAGCCGCAGGGGGAGCAGCGGGCCAACCAGCCGCGGGGGCCCCTGACTGGTTGAAAGTGGCTTGCGCCGGCCCTCCGCCACTCATGGCCATGCCTGACATCTGCTGGGTCATCTGAGTGAGGAAAGAAAGGCGGAGAGGAGGGAAGTCAGTGTTAGAATACATCAGAGCAAAAATAGACAGCTATTCCCCTCATCCCAGAAGCGGGGGGGGGGGGGGGGGGGTTCTCTACATCCTTTATCCCGACTCCATCCCTCGCTTTTTACCTTCGCCTCTGCTCTTGAAGGGCTTCTGGCTTCCTCTGGTCCCTGCCCTCTCCCCCCATCCCCATCTCACTTCCCAGCTCTTCATCCCCCACCCACCTCCTCTGCTCGTCCTCCTCCTTCCATCCATTCTTATCTATTATGAATGTGCTTTGGTGCAGTGCTACTCACTTATCTGGTCATCTGAGAGCTGTAGGCGAGTGTGTGTGTGGTAATGCGTGTGTGTCAGCCAAGCCCGGACAAGCCAGTGACGCATGTGTATGTATGTGTGTCATCAGACAGGTTACTTAACAGCTTTAACTGAACTTAGCTGATGTTTTTCATCAACGGTGTCAGGGTTGCACTTGAGCTTGGTAATTATTGTCTTGTTTAATTAAATTCCTAATTGGCAGTACAGCTTTACTTTTTTGACTTTGGTTTGTTAACTGGGATGAACTGAAAGTTAAAAATGTTAAGACCCATTTTCCAACAGGTGTTAACAAGGGATCTGTATCTGGCTATCTTATCTGAATGGAGAATAATCAGAATATCGTGGGATCAGCCAGAACTCATCTGGCTCACACTGTGCCCAGATCCAGCCGAGTGTAAATTACACTTTTCGTTTGGATACATCCTTAAAGGCCCTGACAACCTATTTTCTTAATCACCTTCTAACTGTGAGCAATGGGGTCCTACACTAAATAATCTGTTTGTTTATTTCACTCATGTACTTCCATGCACCAATCAGGATTTAGCAACATTTAAATCAAAATGAGATGACGTTGAGTTGCTGGGTTATTTGCTTAACTGACAGGCCAAAGTCCTGAAGCATATTATTTCAGTTTTTTGACTCAAGTTATTAATACCTAATAATGGTTTAAATGATGTTAGTGTTTCATTAGTGTTTTTATAGGTGGTTCCCCCGTCTTTCACCCGATGTAAGCTGGGATTGGCTCCAGCCCCCTGCGACCCTGTATGCAGGATAAGCGGTTGACGATGGATGGATGGTATTTTTTTAGTATTACTGTTAACAAAAAAGTTGCATCTACCTTCTTTAATCACTGATTTAATTCACCAACAGGTGAGCACGCTGTGACACAAATCAAAAACACCCCAACGTGTGCATGCTGGCTAAATGCTAAAATGCTCACGTGGATTTGTACATTTGCCAGAATGCTGAGGATCGTCCACCTTCAGTCAGGTGTGTGAGGCCTTTCTGCGGTTTCTGTCACTGTGACTGTGGAGCCTCTTTCAGCGCAACATGTTTGAAAACTTTGAGGAGTGCAGTGGGACAGAGAGGACTGGTTAGAGTGGGACAGACAGCTGAGAGGACTGGTTATGGAAGAAATTCCAAGAGGGTGAATCTATGTGTTTGTGGCTGCAGCCACTGTAGAGAGTGTTTATACATGGTGTGTCTGCTGTTAAAGTGGCAGTGGCATTTCTGCAGCCTAATCTCACTTGTTGTACCTGCTGTGGTGTCAGTTGGTCTTATTTATTGTTCGACACTTGTTTGAGGCTTTTGCATATTTATAATTGATAATCAGTGGTGTGCACAAGCTGCAAAATCTGTCTACAAATGGAATTTACTGTTGTTTCGGACATCAGAGCTTGTGATGTTGTTCCACTAGTGGATTGACATTTAATGCAATTGGAATATACGATTTTCCTCTTCGACTGAAGGATGTTTTTCTATATATCTTTACCCTATATAGTTTCCATTTCCAATGCAAAACAGAATATTTCAATTTCCAAAACTGATTGTTCAGTGTCCTCCGGTTAATGGCAGGGTGGAGGTGGGGTTCAGACAGTTCATAAAACGTAGTTTAGTTGAATGAAAATTAAAAAATGAAAGAATGAAAGACGATAAGTACCGAATGCATTAAATCGATTTGATACTTTAAAAGCAAAGTAATTGCATTGCCAATGAATATAAGGTTAGAAAACACTTGCCTGATGTAACGTGACGTCCTATATACACCATGACCACGTCTGGTCTTCAATCCAAATACAGATACAGAGACGGATCATTTTGTTGGCTGAGCAGATAAAGGTAATGACGCCTCTGTACAGATCTAACAGCTTGTTTGTGTGTTACTGTGTCTGCGTTTTTTGCTGCTGAGAATCAAACATGGAATCCAGAGGGATACAGAGCCAACCTCAACTCCTGGGTTTCATTTCAAATCAATCAAACACATCACATCAGGGCTGGGCAACACTGACTGGAGGAGATTGGATTTTAACTAGAGGACAAATATTGGCTCCATATTGTATATTGGTCCAACCCAATCACTAGAGTCAAATATTCACTGGCTACAAAACAGAAGAAACACGATTGGGAACACTAATGGACTTAATCACATGTTGAATGAAAATGACAAAAATAAGATCTATCTTACCATGATTTTATTATACAATTCAATTAAATGATATATTTTATTATACTACACATACTATATCTCACACCACCCAGTTATGTGTCACTCCTAGCTAGTTATACATTTTAAAAGACTTTGTCACAACTGCCCCTGCGTCAAAGAACCCCACCAAATGTTGGTGACTTTATTACGTACTCGCTAATAATTTCATGGTACTGGGCTAGAATTAGGGACAAAGGAACAAGGAAGTGATTTGACAGAATTTAAGAAAAAAGGTACCATTATATTATTATACAATAACCTTGGTTATAAAAAGATTGAATAGTTGATTAAAGCTGCTCGTCTTGGGCTTTTAGTGAGGCTGAAGGGGTGAGGTCATTACTGCACTGGGCTGTGCATGAAATTAGGGAGCAGAACATTATGTAAGAACATATATTAACTTTTAGGACCAGGATAATGAAACTCTTTACAGGTGGTGTCAAGGAAAAGAACAATATGTTTAAACATTATGCTTTATTTAGGTTGCTAAGCTTCTTAAGAGTTGTGCAGAGAAACTGGAGTGGAATTACAAGCTAAATGTTAAACTGAGTTCATCATCACCATAAAATGAGTTAATAAACACCATTCTCAGTGTGGTTTAGTTACCTGGCCCATATTCCACTGTCCTTGCTGCTGTCCTTGCTGCATGCTGTACATGTTCTGTCCCTGGCTGGCTGGCATCACACCCTGCTGTGGCACGCCCATGTAGCCGCCGTTGGACAAAGCCATGCCGGACATCATGGCCCCTCCACCCATCATGGTGGTGGATGGCACGGCTCCGCCCATCCCTGGGGTGAAACCCTGTGGAGTGAACTGCATCTGAGGCTGGCCCATGTACACTCCTGCTGGAGCAAAGAAACACACACACACACGCACGCACGCACACACACACACTCTTAGTTAGTTATATAACTGTGCTCAACAGCACTTGATGTAAACTTTCCTACAGCTGATCATATTTTCAACTAAACATAAGGGAAAACAGAGCTGTGTTGAAGTAAATAAACAGTTTTCCTCATAAACTACAAGAAACCCAGTTTAGCTTTGATTCCCTACAAGATATGTAGGAAAATAATTTATTTAAAGCGTAATTAGTTACTCTTTAAAATCCACATATAAAATGTGTTAAGAAAGTCAAACTTCCATATAACCCTAGCTAAAATGTTTGAAACACTTCAAAACGCTTACACCCTGCTTACACCTGGTATTAAAATGTGATCTGTATCCAGATAAGTGATCCGGATAATAAACGGTGTAATCTTGCCTTTGCATTTAAACCTGGAATTTTTAATGCATTCTTGTTATCCACACTGAGATCGGATCTAGCAAAACCTGTGCATGAGGAATGTGAGGTGGCTTAAATCCGTCTCAGACTCCCTTAAAAACGTGCAGTTTTGTGAGTTGTTGAGTTAGGGGAAACTTTGTGAAACCTTGTATACAACAAATTCTTGATTATTTTTCTGCTCTTGTAACTTCTGGA